GATGGAGCTCTTTATTTCACTCTTAGCAAATTCAGTCCACACAGTACTGGTACTGCTGCCCTCTGGACGGTAAATAGCAATCTGAATCAACAGAGAGTCACTTAATGGCAAACAGAAACAAGTGAGAGGTGGTGCGGGGCCGCGGGCTGCTCTGCACCTAAGGGAGCGCAGGCTCTCCGTCACCAGCACAGCACACCTGCCTTTGTTTCCTCTCACTGCCCCAATGACGGACAAAAGGCAGCCCCTTTTTCACAGGTGTTTACAAAGGTTGGGGTGTGGGTTGTTGTTGTTGTTTTCCGGTAATAATAGTATGAAATGCACCATTAGAATTCCCCTATTTATTAAGTGCTTGCTAGCAATAGCATAAAAAAAAAAAATCTTCCTTTATTCATTTGACAACTTTAAAGGATTTGTTTGACAAGCTAGAAGAGGAAAACTAATAGCAAATGCCACTCTTAACCTTGTCTATCTGTACTTAATCTCTCTCTCTGAAGACTACAATGGTTAAATTAACGGACAACCCCTTTTGTATGTCAAATTGTCAATTTTAATGTTTTCATTAGAATAGTCTCATATCGCTCTCCAACACGAAACAATAAAATAACTAACAGCAAACGTCAGTACAGGAACAACACTCTCCAGATTAACAACTCAAACAAAACAAAAAAATTTCCATGTAAAATGTAAATCACATATAATACAATTGAAGCGTCCAGAACAATTTAAATAATTTTAAATATTTTATTTTTAAACGGCTACAAATGCTTTATACAATATTTCAACATAAAGTCCCCATAACAGAAATGTAACAAAATGGGAATGATAGTGAAAGGGTTAAAGTGGCACAAATTCACCAAACAAATATTACGCTACAAATTTTAAGAGGTAGATTACTTTTTTTAAAAGTTGAGAACAAAAATGATATGAATAAAAACCTAGTCATTTTCCACCAACTCAGTCATTACTTTGGGGGGAAAGGGCATACAAATGCATTAAGAAATGGTATTTATATATTGAGGACGAGACCAATTTGTAGTTTTTAGTCTCCATTAGAGACTGAAGTGTAAAAAACCTGGTACGCAGGTTCATTTGCATTTACGTAGACATACATCTATACAGGCCTGGGAGTCATCCTGTGCATTGATATATTGCTACATAGTCTCTGATATGAGTTTTAATTAGTGCCAGACCGTGAGCTGAGAGGATACCCTCCATTTGGATATATAAACATGACACGTGGAGAGACATAAAAAGGTCCATATCCAATCTGGGTTCCTCTCCATTATGCTGGCAACCAGGCAAGAGATCAGCTAAATGCCTCTCTCTGTCTATAATTCATTTTTAAAAAAGGCATCAAGAGCTGGTGTGTGACCAAAACATTTTAAAATGAGTGCATCCGAATTTGTCATCCCTGAAATCTACAACCAACTACTGATAAAACAGGGAACTTGCTTTGCAAGGGTGTGTTAAAATCATATTCTCTTCTCTGCTATGTGCCAAAAACCAAGGCCACCCTTGGAGCCGAGTCCCCGGTCCATCTAGCCCACCATGCAGCACCCCTCCTCTTTGGATCTCTTTCCCAGGAGCCCTGCAGCCCAGCAGGTGCCTGACTCTAACCAGGGTAACAAGAGGCCTGCCGGCAGTCAGCTGTGTGTTAGGACTTGTGAGTCAGCTTCAACTGGTCTTGCAAGCTTGTAGATTTCGTATCCTTTGTCGTAGTGCTTATCCTAAGTTGAGCAATATCGTTATTTAGTCAAGTAAAGATTGTTTTGTTTGGGGGCTTGTCTACAGCAAGTTCCTAGAAAATAAGAAAACTGAAGATAAATGACAACATAATATAATCTTACATGAATTGACCATGTTAAAGAAAAAGGTGAGTAAACCGTAAGACAAATGTTAGTAAGACAGCCACATAAATGACTCTGAAGGCATGTAGGACTCGAGACACAATGGGAGAGGCCTGATTTGGAACGGTGGCGCACAGATGTGCTTGTAGGACACCAGCATCATCTAATCCTTTCAATGAGCGCATGGTAAATGAGAAAACGTGGTCAGCACTTTCATTCTCGGTCCCTGTCTTTACATCTTCTTGACTGGCTGCAGCGGGAGACTCAGTATGAAAAACAAGTAAACAACTGCTCAAAATGGGGCAGTCCAGAATTCATGCATACTCCCCTGGGGGATCTACATAAACCAAAGGTAAGGAAGAGGAAGGAGTCCAGGAGCTGTGCCTCTTTCCTCCACTCTGTGCCTTCCCTGGAGTGCATGGAAAGAAACCCCAGCAAGCGATCCAAATACAGTACCATGGACAAGCCATCATAACACAGAGTCACTGCAATAAAGTAAGGGGATCTGAAAGATGGCTGGCATGCCTGACTTCTTGGATACTTTGTTTTAGGAAGAGGATCGGGAGCAAAGGTCTCTTTGACCCTGAATTGACTGGCACCAGGCTGTGCTCTAGGAAACGAACTAGCAATCGTGGGAAGCAGAAAACTCTGGCTGCGTTCACATGGCCAACTGCAAACATACTGGAGTCCTAAACTGGTATTCAAATGTACAAAGTCTGAGTGTTCAAAGGCTACACTGTCATTCTGAGTAAGTACTTGAGTATGCAACCAGGTATGTACGGCAACATCACTATCAACTGCAGAGTTCTAAGTATTTCTGAACATGTAAGTGAGGTTTTGCATTGTGACTAAAATCATTCCTAAACAATACTTGATGTAGAAATACAATGGAAAGAGGAGATGCTTTTTAATATGACTCCTTCTCAAAGTCTCATGACAAATGTGTATCAAGAAGCCTGAAGAATGTCCTGTTAAGAGCCCTGGGCTGGACCCTGATGACAGGGTCCTGAGATAAGGAACCTCTGATGAGGAACCCAGTTGGGTTCTAAATTCACTCCTCGGCACAAAGGCCGCCAAAACACACTCATCTGAAAGAAATGCCTACTCTTATGTCCAGATAACCAAAACACGTCTTCTTGTAGCACATCAGTGACTTTTAGGCGTTTCCATGTGCCATCTCGTGACGTGTCCACAGCACAAACCCCATGGCCACCACGAAGGAGGCGCCATGCCGAGGATGTCTGAATTGTCACCTACCAATTACAACAATATCAATGCTTTCTTATCTGATTTCTTTTTCCCTGTTTCTTGTTAGGGCTAAATTTTACTCTAGCAATGCAACCCTTTGTTAATTATAAAAGAAAGCACAATAATTAAAATTAACAGGAGCAAAGAAGAGAAGCACATTTGATTAGGCTCTTTGTTCCTTTGCAATCTTAATAAAGGGTTCTTCAAATAGCACTGGGTTGGTAAGAGGTTAATCAAGTGAACTGCACAAATTCAGTCACTCAGCTTAGAAGAGATTCCTTTTAGACAGAATCAGAGACCCAAAGGGATATAGTACATTCTAGAGCAGCCACTTGAGAGATGCTGTTGAAATATCCCATGAAAATGATTACACATTCTCGTTGATAAGTAACCAGAAAGGGACTTAATCCCCATTACCCTACTGTTGCAGAGCCTCCAGACCGACTAACCCTAAGCACTATGCACAAGTTCAGTTAAAGTGCTAAAGGGAGCCTGCAGGGAGGACTGATGAACAAGGCACATTTCACCAGGGTTGACCTCCAGAGACCAGATGTCGATGAACTGATTGATCCTCAAGTACATTTACGGAGAAGCTTTTTCTTCTCATGAATCGGTTCCACTCAGCCACAGGCAGGGTCTCCTCCACCTCTTTCTATGGCCACAACATGAGCATCTGGACACTGAGACTGAGACAGCGGGACCTTTGAGAGTGCTCGTGTCCACTCTAAGCCAGCTCTCAAGCCACCACTCAAAAAAGACCCGCTGCCATTGAGTCCCGAGACTATAAATCCTTCCGGGAGCAGACGGCCTCATCTTTCTCCCAAGGAGCAGCTGAGTGGATTTAGAATCTCTGGCCTTGTGGTTAGCAGCCCACCAGGGCTCTTCTGTCACTCCATAGCTAATCCCAATTCTGATGATCTGCTCAGAAACCCTAGACTCTGCAGACATTAAAATAAAAAGCAATAGCCAGGAACACCTCGAGTCAGGCAGCAAACATGTGATGTCATCCCAGAGGCAGCAAGAACCCCAAGGACTATTGTCAACTGCAGTGAAGCAGATGGATCTGGAAAGTCTGACAAGTCAGCGTCCCACTAGAAAGCCCAGCTGTAGCTTTTTCCTTTCCACCAGGAGTTTGTACTCTGAGAACAGAATAAAACAAAAGAATCACTCTAATCTAAGATGAACTGGGGAGCACTAACCACGCCTCGCTGCAGCAGGTCCTACACCCTTCTCCTACGTTGTCTCCCACCTGGGAAACTGGCTGGTTTTTCAGCCTGTGGCTTGAGGCGGAGGAGAAGAGGGGAGGGGGGCGATGGACAAGGGGACTCAGAGACATTTAAATAGATGTCTGGTGCTTTGTTTTAACCCATGAGGTGAGTTATTAAAATGAAACCTCCGGCACTGATAGAAAGCTTGCTCACGCGGGTACTACCACTTTGTTGAGGTCACAGACAGAGTCAACAGAGTTGTAAGGTGATTTACTAACAAACTCAGCGATGCATCATGAAGCAGTGACGAGTTAATACAACTGACAATGAGATATTCCTTCCCAGGAGAGAAAGGCCATTTTGAGAGAATTTCATCTTTTTACCTAGGGCTGGCTCTTTGGAAGGCTTTTCCAGGGTCTCAAACACAAATCTCAATTGGACCCACTCAATAAATACATGGTATGACTTTGTGAGTTCTATGTGGAAATAAAAGCTCTTTTATTTCTCCCTACAGCAGCCACAACAGTAACCCTACTTAACACCTACAGTGTAGGCCACAGCTACTTCCTTTAGACGCTGCCAGCAGAACTTTACAGGAAGGAGAAAGACATCAAAATAAAGAAATACCCACAGGCAAGCACCCGCACCCCCGAGCTCGCACATCTTAGATGCGCCAGCCCTGGAGGACACCGCTTACCTCAAGTCCTTCAGCTCCTGCTTGGCACTGAGATCCTCCCTCCGGTTTTCCTCTGGGTCCGCGGTGGCGGCAGCAGCCAGCTGTAGGCTTCGGGTGATTGGCCCCCCACTCCGTTCTCTAGATTTTATATTGAACCGGTCTGTTCTTTTCTTACTCGCCAAGGGGACTTTGCTTTGTAGAACAGCCTTACTTTTCTGGACTCGCGTGTGCAGGCTCCGGGACACTTTGCTGGAGAGCTGGGCAGAATGGTTCTTGGCCACCGCTTTGGGTTTTTTCCCTTCAACATGCGTGATTCTGGCCATTCTTATCGGGCTGGAGTTCCTTAAAGAGGAGGAGTTTGGCTTCTTTGACTTCACTGAAGACGCAAACTTGACATTCTGCTTGGACCGGAAGGACGAGGAGGGCAAGGAGTTGGACGCAGGGCCGGAGCTGCGAGCGCGGGTCTTGCCCAGGGGTGTCGGCGTGCTCTGCATCTTAATCTCTGCGTCTGCCGTCCGACGGCGATGGTTGCTGTTACTGTTCTTTTCACTGTTTGAGGGCGATGAGTGTCCGCTTTTCTTAGATGAATGAGATACTTTTTTTTTGGAAGGAGAGAGGGGTTTTTTGGGACAGCTGAAGGCGGCGTGCTTATTCAGGCTTCCGATGTAAGTGAACTCTCGGTTGCAGTACGGACAGATATGAGAGGAGGACTCAGAAGCCGTTTTTAAGTCGGCCTTTTGCTTGGCAGCCTTGTTTTTTTGAAGGATTGCTTTCTGCACAAGCTGGTTTTTTTTCTTCAATGCATTCAACTTGAGTTTAGTAGATGACATTTTGCTGAGCTCGACACTGAAGTTCAGTCTTTTGGGCTGTCCCATGCGTCTGAAGGCATTTTTCCCAGAGTTATCCAAAACCACCACGCCGTTTTTTGGTTGCACCGTCTGTTTCAAAGGGACTGGGTTCTTCTTAGGGGTGTACCGCTTCTTGTCGCTGGCAGACGCACACGCCAGGATGTGTTTGTGTAGCTCAGGCATGTTATCAACACCTTTCCCACACTTTGTGCAGCGTATGGCAGTAGTAAAAGTCTGTGGAATATTGTGGGTGGTGAAATTTGTGGCCGTCACACCAATTCCCATGGGGTTTCGGTGATGGTACTGAAATGGAGGGGGTTTAAAGCTTGGGTAATGCTGGTTGAGACCCAACCGAACATCCGGGTCTTTTGTCTTGATTCCAGAAGCCATTATCTTTATGGTTGTGTATAGCTCTTCAGATGAATCATTTAAGTCCTCCTCCTCTTTAGATGTTTCAGAAGGATCTTCTGACAAGCTCTGCATGTGCTCCGCGTGGGCCTTGCTTGGGTCTGTGAAGTTCTGGGGCCTGAGGGTCCCACTCTCAAACTCCTGGTGTGTGCATACCTTATCTGGGTGGAGATCACGCTGGTGCTGCTGCAAATTGCACAAAAAAGCAAATTCTTTTTTACAAACGGAACACACAAAGATATTCCCAACTCCATGAAGCAAAAAGCGATGTTCTGACAAGTCAGTTTTATCCTTAAACAGCTGCACACAGAATTCACATTTGAAGGGCCATTCTTCAGCATGAATAGATAAATGTTTGGTGAGGTCTTTGATAGAAAGGAAAGGTGATTCACAGACATTGCAAACGAAATTTTTGTTGAATGTTTCCTGAACAACATCCTGTTCAACTGAAGACTGGAGCTCTTCCCTGGGTTGCAGCTCTTCATTCTCCAGCTCTTCCTGTTTGAAAGACATCATGGGGAGAGAAGCTTCCAGATTATCCCCAGAGGAAATGACAGATGACACTGCCGAGAGAGGAGGTGGGGAAGGGGAGGAGGAGGAGGAGGAAGAGAAGGGAGACGAGGAAGAGGAGGAGGAGGAGGAAGAAGATGACGAAGAAAGTGTCGGTGGCCCAGGTGATGCAGCAGACAAGAGCGGGTCTCCGGAAGGGAGGGGAGACGGAGAGGGAGATACAGTCGGGGAAAGAATCGGAAGTGGAGACTGTGTGGCCGTATTGGAGAGGGGTGAGGGGCATGGAGGGGGAGATGCATCTGAGGAGCGGGCCGGCAGAGGCAAGGGAATCGTAGGAAGGAGTGGAGGGGGTGGCGTGGCAACAGTTAAGACCGGAGGACATGGTGGAGGAGAGGACGGGTTTGTTGGAATCAAGAGAGGAGGCAGCTGACCAGAAGACAGGGAAGATGTCTGCGGGGCAGGTGATGAAGGAGAAACATCTGGTGAGGACTCAACAGTCGAGGCCGATGAACTAGAGTCAGGACCAAGGTCAGGCTCTGCCTGGATCTCTAGTGATTTACAAGGACTTGGGCTTCTGGTCACATCTGTAGTATTTTCTCCAGGTAAGTCCATACCATTGTACTCATTGAGGAGAACTTTCTGTAGCATGCAGGTGGTTGGCTTCTTTTTCTTTGCAGCACTACAGGCTGGCTGCCCTGAATGGTTCTCTCTGAGTTCTTTGCCTTCAGAGTCACCGCAGGGCTTTTTATGCACGCTGAGATCTAGTACAGACTCCCACTGCACAGGAGTCTTGCCGACACCCTCCGCTTTCAGTTTAACACCACTGGACAAATCCAGTGGCTGCTGGTTGCATACATGACTGAAAGTTGAAGTGGCTGCCCACTCTTTAGATATTTGATACTCCTCAAAACACGGAGGGCTCACAGTCTCTTGCTCATCCCTGGTGGCCACGCTCCAGGCTGGTGAGTCGCTATGACTTTCTAATTTGGGTTTTTTGGAACCCAGTACTGCCTCGTTCCACACTGCCTTCCCGTCGCTTTGCTTCCCCAGGTCACGAAGGGCAGGACTGTGCTGTGGAGAGCTGGGAGGGGAGCTGGTACGCCGCTTAAATCGACTCGAGCTCACCGGTAACAGTGACGTAGGCGCAGACACAGGACACGGACCCAATTTGGACATCTCGGGTGCTGAGACTCCCGCAGGAGGAGTGAGGTTTTCCTGGGTTTGAAGCAGTTGTTTGAGCTTTGATGACAAATAAACACTTTTCTCTTTATGACAAGACACGGTTTCTGTAGTTGATATGCTAAGAGGCAGACTTAAGGAGCATGGGGGTGTGACGGGGCCCGAGTCGGTCTCAGCTTTAACTGTGGGTAACAGAGGCGGACTGGCAGTTCTCCGTTTCTTGGACTCACTGTTTGTGCCACTGGAGGGCTCTTTAGGAAGCTCCTCGGTTACAGGGAGCTGTGCGGGCTTTATATTCTGACTAATTTCCACGGTAACCGGAGTAAGCAGACAGTTGATGCTATACAAATCAGCTGGATTCGATTCCATCTCAATGACGTCACAATTACTGGTGCTGTTGTTAGTTTGAATTTTCCCATCAATGTAGTAATTCAGGTTTTCGGAGATATTACTAGAGACATCCATAATGTATACATCATCGGCCTCTCCTTCCTCTTCTGGCTCTGTGCTTGGTACATAGACATTTGGGCTGGGTTGGGTCTGCTCTGCTGGGGGCTGTGGCTCTTCCAGGAGGCCTCCTTTTCGCCGTACCCCTTTGGGAATCAGGTGACGCTCATGAACTCTCCGCTGATGCCGTCTCATATTAGTATGCGTTCCAAAAACCTTTTTACAGTATTTGCATGGATGAAGTTCTTTAGTTTCTCCATTCTCTTCTACAAGTGAAGAACTGACTGCTTCTTGGGAAGCTTTCTCTGAGTTCAAGATCAGACAGTCTTGCCTAAGACTGGGAGAATTTGATTCATCTTTAGGAGTGACATTCTCTCCAGATACTTTGTCATCAATGAGATCTTCTGACGGCTGTAGTGTCAGGCTGGGTTTTCGCTTTAGGCCTGCTTCATGGCGACGTTCATGCCGCCTCCTGTTAATCTGTGTGCCAAATGCTTTCCCACAGTACTTGCACTTGAAGGCATGATTGACTGTAGATATGTGAATATGCATGTGACGTTCAAGCCCCTGTTTGGTTGTAAACTTCCGTTCACAATGCTGACATGGAAACATAAACGTTTCAAATACATCCCCATTGGGCTCTCCTTTAGCTTTAGGAATCCTTATACCAGGCGTTACCTCTGGAGAGTCTTCAAGACTTTCTGCTGAAGTATTTTTTGGTTCATCTAATAAATCTTCCAGCTTCTCATCACAACGTATTTCTGGATCCTTCAGAGAACTTTCATTTGGCAAGTCAGCCTCTTCCTCCCCTTCTTCTTCCAACTCATCATCTTCCTCCTCTTCTTCCTCCTCTTCTTCTTCCAATTCATTCACCTCACAACAGGCAGCTTCAGGTTTCTCGTCTGGTTCAGCTTGTGGCTCACAGGCAGGGGATGGAACTGCTTCTTCTGGAAGCACACCCCGACTAACCACCTCCTGAAGAACATGTGTCTGCTCAGCTGCTGAAGCGGCAGGCTTCTCTTCCTCTTCTTTAGGGCCTAGGAAAGTAGAAGCAAGGAAGTGAGAGCAAGAAACCAGCCACCTGGTGATGAATTCTATTTACTCAATTCTTTCCATCAGCACTTAAATGTGTGAGGGATATTGTGCTACACAGTTGTAACACTGAAATGAATTCATTTCCGCCACTCACTCATTAGAGGAGCATGTCTGGAGTGCCTGCTATGCACCAGGCAGCGAGGAGACACATGATCCAAAGAGAGCGCAGATCCTTTGACCCAGGTTCAGCAACTCATATGAGCATATAAAAACTCTTCAGACATTACAGTGCTTCACACTGTGCTGCAGTAACTGATAGGGAACTTCAAAGAGACAAACTATAAATTCGAATTCCTCACAATTTCAAAATGAAACAAGGTTACGATCACCAGCTTGGTAGTCTGTCTTGAATGGAATGATCTGGTCCCTCCTTTCCCACTAAAATGATCTTTAAGTAGAAGCTAGGATATTATCCACAATCATATAACAACAACTGTTTCAAGAAAAAAATCATCTCTTCTAAGATCCAATGATCAGGAGTACCACAGCAAAACAAAGAGAAAAATCATAGCAATCAACAACAGAAATCCAAAATCACCTCTGGTCTTTATGTCCAGGCCGAAGCAGATGGGAGGCAGGTGGTCCAGGAAGACCTGACTAGTAAGAGCACCGGTGAGTAGACAGCTAAAAGCAATGAGCCTGGGAATATCTGGGGGGCAACTCCAGCTGATAACTCAGGGCATACAGGAAGGAAGCAGGGTAATAAGGAGCATGCCTACTATTATCCTCTGGCTGAGCCTAAGGTGGCAGCCATAAAGATGGTGGGAAATGGACAAATTCTGAATATATTTTATAGATCAAGTTATTAAGATGTGGTTATTGATTGAGACAAAGAGCAATGAGGAAGATTTCATGGCCAACTGCAGTAACCGTAGGAAAGTACAATGTGTGTATGTATTCACACATGTGTACTGAGAGGGTAGAAAGAGTTTGCTCTGGACATGCTATAGAACAGACATCCACGTGAAGATGTTCAAGTCTTGTACAAATCTTAAGTTCAACAGAGGTTGTGCCTAGAAGCGACACGGTCTGGTCTTCAGAGTTCACAGTGCATTTAAACATGGGATCAGACTATGACACCTTAAGAGTAAATGGGTTCAGGGGAGGGGGGCAATATACAGGGATGGGGAGGGAAGTGGAGAAACGGGGCAGATGGGTGAACAATTGGGCATGTTTGAGAGGGCCAAATGGGACAGGGATTAAGGACGATATACACACAGCCTTGGAACTGCAGGGCTCTGAGATACGGGGATTGAGTGATGGCTGGAATGGGGGGGGCGGTAATCACGTTAAGATGCTTGACTGTTTTTTATTTGTTTGTTTAATCTTGGTTTCTCTTGCATTATAATACAGAGTAGACACTGGAGAGGGAGAGAAAGGAATAGTCAGGAACATTACACTAGAAGGCTTATAAGTCCGTCTTCTGCCTATGACTGATTGGAATACCTAAAATGGGGCTACAGCGTACCCAGTGAACAAGGCTTCCTGCAGAGCCTCTGCAATACATAAAACTATAGGTAGAAACAGGAACCACAACCAGATCTCCAGAGATGAGAAATCTCCACTTGAAAGGACGAGCAGACCAGCCTGAAGCTGCTAGAAGAATAAAAGATACCTCTTGAAAGAAAGACCTGCAGGAAAAATGGAGGCAGATGGACTGTTACTACAAGAACAAACAAATCGCTTCCCTAGAAAACATCAAGGCAAGTGGCCAAGTCCTCTCAATGCAAACCCCCTTCCAAGACTAAGACTCAACGGAAATGCACGCTCTGATTGGTGACCACACACATTACCGATGGGAGGAAATGGGGTAAAAGCAGCAATGAAGTGGCAAGCTAAGCCCTACAATGTTCAGTGGACTTGTGTGGACCCAGATGGGAACCTGGTTGGCAAGCAGTGTGAAGAGATCTGGGGACTCTTGGGCCCAGCGTCAGTGGCATGGCCACGGAGGACTCAAGAGGAAAGTGGAGCTACCGGCTGACGGGAAGAGAGGGCATGTGCACAGGAGCGCCCACACTTGCAGATGAAACTCACGTGACCTGGACCAGATGACTGGACGAACTTGACCTATACCTATGGAGCAGCAACTCAAAAGAAGGAACAAATCCTTACGGCAAGAATCATTCCCACCCCCTCCACACACAGAGTGGACAGAGATGGGCAACTTGGACACTGGATACTCAAATGGGGAGGGGGGGACTACAAAGGCAAGAAGTGACTGGCTTACAAGCTTTCAAGGGGGAACCTAGTGCTAGGGAGCATGGAGGAAGGCAGAATCTCCAGTGGGTACTATTGAATCTGTCTGGGCAGAGCGGATGAAAGGAAATACATATGGGGAACTCACGATACTGTAGTGAAGAATGCTTATCAGGACGGATTATGAGGGTTGGAAATGCAAAGGTAGACATTTTGGAACAAGGAAGGGAGTGATTAATTCTACAGGCTAGGAGCGGAGCTATCTGGGACCATCAACGGAGAAGAGCCGAGCGCGTGACCCTACCCAGAGAAACAGAGGTGTCTGAGATGGAGACAGAGACGATGACGTGGAGCAATGAAGCAGCTGGGGGCTCTGGATCCAGAGAGGGAAAGGGACTGTGGGCCAAAAACTGGGGGTGGAGGGGGAAGTGTAGGGGGCGGGTTTCTAGGATATACCCTTTGGCTGGTTGATGATGCATGGAGGGGAATGGAACCATGGCAATGAGATGATATACGATGGAATGAATGTAAAACTACATTCTCTCATGTAAACTATCATATAATTCACAATAAAACATTTAAAAAAAAAAGCAGCTACACAACTTGATGTAGTTTTTTAGGACAAATCCTTTTTCAAGTGAAAAAATAAACAGGGATTTAAAGATCAAAAAAAAAGAAAAGAAAAGAAAAAAGTAAATGGGTCCAGCAGAGAGGCAGGAGGACTATGGTCCAGCAGAGGGGCAGGAGGACTATGGTCCAGCAGAGGGGCAGAAGGACTATGGTCCAGCAGAGAGGCAGGAAGACTATGGCCCAGCAGAGGGGCAGGAGGACTATGGTCCAGCAGAGGGGCAGGAGGACTATGGTCCAGCAGAGGGCCAGGAGGACTATGGTCCAGCAGAGAGGCAAGACAACTATGGCCCAGCAGAGGGGCAGGAGGACTATGGTCCAGCAGAGGGGCAGGAGGACTATGGTCCAGCAGAGGGCCAGGAGGACTATGGCCCAGCAGAGGGGCAGGAGGACTATGGTCCAGCCGAGGGGCAGGACGACTATGGTCCAGCCGAGGGGCAGGACGACGATGGTCCAGCAGAGGGGCAGGACGACTATGGTCCAGCAGAGGGGCAGGACGACGATGGTCCAGCCGAGGGGCAGGACGACGATGGTCCAGCAGAGAGGCAGGACGACTATGGTCCAGCAGACTCTCGTACTTACAGATTGACAGCACCATCAGTGAGATATCCGAGAGCCAAGGGAGGGGTAGCCCTTGGGCTAAGGGAAACATTTCAAGGAGGGAACAGCCAGTTATGTGACGTATCACTTATAGATGGAGCAAGGTGAAGAGTGAAGAGTGAAAAGTTCACATCTGATCTAAGCAATGCGAATTCTTAGGAGAATGGAATAAGGAGGGAGACACAGGAACACCACAAGCATCTACTGCAAGGTTTGCTATAAAGAAACGCAGTGAAATGGGATAGTAGCTGGAAGGACACAGGAGCTCTCACAGCCTGGGGAATGCTAGCAGAGAGGGCCACGGTACTGCTTTCTCTATAGTATCGCCTGGCACTGTTAAATAGGCCGACTACTGTGACTTCTCCAGGCTGTGCTCCTCACAAATACTGACTGAGCACCACTCAATGCTAGTGTGGGGAAAAAGGACTGTCAAGCTCCTTGTCTTTGCAGAGTGTCAGCTTAGCAGGCATCATATGCACATGAACAGGCACCATGTATAATGAAATCTTTGCCATGCTAAAAGAAGGAGATGTTGCTACAGATAAACATAGGACTGGCATCCTCACAGGGAAGGACTCAGTGAAAGTACTGAGGAGGCTTACTGGGAAAGACACACTAAGTTCGTCAGCAGTGGAAGAGGAAGCAGAGAAATATCAACACATGTAGAACATGAGTTTGGGCTTACATGGTGAAAATGGGGTCCATTCAAGTATTTTAACCTAAGAGAGTGGCATGGGGCTGCTTGTAGATTAAATACCTGAGAGAAGGACCTTACTGGAGGCACTATTACAAACAACACAGGAAATGAGGCCTACCCATCCTGAGACATGGGAGGCAGCAGTAGAGGCAGTGGAAAGGTAGCCAGGGTTAAATGCGACAAAGTCTTGGTGACATGTCTAGACACAGGAATCCAAAGGCCAGCTGTCCTGAGCTCTGCAAATGCAAGGAATTCATGCACTGGTTTAATCCCAGCCTTCTTGCAGGTTCCTAAAAATGGCCAGTCTTTGTCCCCATCTGTGGCTATACTTACTAGCAATGAGGTTTCTGCTTCTAAATAAAAACCAGCCGCTTCCTCCAAAATTTCATTAATTTCCACAAGTCTTCCACAAACAAGGAATTTAGTTATTTGATGGTGGCAATGTTATTTCAAATTAGGGGCCAGCTCACACTTTTCAAATACGTTTTCAACAAAGACCCAGAATAATTGTTTTTAAAAAAAGGTGAGACAATAGGAAATGAAAATAACGTCTCCCAGGCTCAGAAATTTCTTAATGGAGTTCATTTTTAGCCAAAATGTGTGCCCTGTTAGGATGGGAGGAGGGGGGGGGATGGAATTCTTTGCCTATGATTGACGAACACACCCAGATTTTAAGTGTCCAACTGGGCACAGTCCTCTATGAACTAGGAAGGCCCGCAACAAGGCATTAATTGTGTACAGTACACTTAGGCTCTGCTGAGCCTTAAGCATAAAGACGGTCTGGGAAGCACAAAGAGGCTGAACAGTCTGCTCAACCTAGAGCCCATTAGCTGAGGTAGATACGGGGCCGTTTAGCTATGGCTTATAGCTGCATTATTCAGAGCCAGTATCACTATGACCAATCACACCACAAAAAGAATACACACCTTTTCTATTGGATCTAATGTTATATCAAGAAAAAACGAATTGTTTTTTTCTTAATGACTAGGGTGGGGTGGGGGACCAGTTACTGTTTTTTTTCTTTTGAAAATTCTACCACCCAAGGTCACAAGGTTATTAATTTTTGTTGCTGTTGAAATGAACATCTTAGTAAATCTTCTATGGCTAGCATGCAGACTTCACGGCTACCCGAAAGGGAGTGATTCAAACCCACAAACTACTCCACAGGAGAAATATGTGGCTGATTGCCTCTATAGAGGAGCCATCCTAGACATCTCTCCTGGGGCAGTTCCACTCTGTCCTGCACGGTCACTGTGAATCGGGAGCAACTCAATGGCAACAGGGTTGTCTGCTTTGTTGTTTATTCTCACTTCACAAAGCGGGGCAGAAAACAGCAACCCTCTATGAATGTCATCACCACAAACCCCAGACAAGCCCAAACCCACTGTTGGTGAGTCTATTCCGACCCTACAGAAAAGGAGCTTCAGAGGGCTCTCCAGGCTGCACAGCTCTAAGGAAGCAGTCCAATGCTTAACCCACTGTACCACCGAACACAGCTAATAAAGACTGTAAAGAATACAAAGTATTTTGTGGGTTTTTTTCCCTCTGCAATGTTTCTCTGAAAGAGGCACAAGCCTGTACTCTGAAATTTGCCTACTTGGGTCACTACATAGAACTGAGCAAGCTTTTTGTTGTTTGTTGTTAGGTACCATCAAGTCAGTTCTGACTCATAGTGAACCTGTTCTAGGGTTTCCAAAGAGCAGCTTTAGTCTGTGCTAAATTTACCACCTAACAAACGAAGGCCCATTTCCCCTTCACTTCTAGTATCATCAGTAGTCTCAATACATGGCTCAACTAGCGTAGTGGTTAAGAGTCAGGCTGTGAGCCGCAAGGTCAGCAGTTCGAAACTACCAGCGGCTCCTCAGGAGAAAGATGAGGCGGTCTGCTCCCGTAAAGATTTACAGCCTCGGAAACCCTGTACAGGGTGGCTATGAGTCGGAACCGACTCCATGGCACATAACAACAACAACACAGAATGTATGTTGTTATTGTTAGTAAGTGCTATCGAGGTGATTCTGACTCAAAGCCACCCTGTATACAGTTTCCGGCTGGTGGGTTTGAAATGCCAACCTTGCAGTTAGTGCGTTAGCAGTCCAGTGCTTATCCTACAGCACCATACCAGGACTCCACACAACAATGAAGCACACGTATATTAAACTGTGTACATGTGAAGTACACAGAGTGCGGTGAAGTTATGTAATACTGCCATGCCCACCCCCGGCCCGAGGAAGAGCATTACCAACACTCCAGAAACCTCCATGTGTCATGCCAGCCCAGCCCGCCTTCTATCACTACAGATTTCTTTTGACTGCTTTGAATTTTATATTAATTATTAATGCAATCATAAAATGTGTTTCATTTTAACAAGAATAATTTGATTTTTAACAAGAAAGGTTCTTTAGTAATTTTTAAAGAGGAGAAGTGACAATGAACACTCAGTTACCATATTAAATTTAGGTGTATTGTTGTTAAAACCCTTTCTATAGTTGCTGGATGATTCCCAAAAAACAGGCATTGCAAGCAAATACAGAGTTATGTGATCTGGCAACACATGCTCAAATGCCACTGGTGCAAGAAGCCCAGCTTACCTTCTGCAGAATCTCTCATATTTGCAGGGGTGGGATCTAGCTCGCTTGTCTTCAGCTTTAGTTCTTCAATTTTATTTCCTTTGCTTTTATTTTCCTGGGATTTTTTCTTCCCTGAAACACAATATGTATTCATTCATTCGGCCATTCATTATTATCCTGAATTCTTGAAGGCAACAATTATTATTTCAGTCACAGCGTATCATATACCTAGGTAAAGATCACTTCAAACCTACAGCTATCAAGCTTCAGCTACAAATAGTCTAGAAAAGTTAACAATATTGATTGATGTCAAAGACAACTTAGGCAGAACAGCACTGAATTCTGTTCTATGCAAGTAACACGGATGTGGCAGAAGACTGTAAGAAATATGTTTGAGAAAATCAGTATGTTATCATTTGAGCTCCTTTTAGTTAAGCTACGGTCATCCATAATTGTCAAAATAAAACAACAGAGACAGATGCCGCTGAACTACTGCAAGAAGCACGCATGCACACCACCAGCTCCACTATCAAATGCAGAGTAATGATGAATAATTCACGGCAAGCCTGCATGCTTGGCACTCCAAGTGCCCTGTGGGAGTCCACTCTAAGTCCAGTACAATTCAATATTTCATTAACAACGGCAGAGAATGAAATACAAGAAACACTAATTGCATCCAAGTGACACTATACTTTAAAAGATTAAAATGCACATATTTCTGACAAGCTGAAACAATAAACTAAATAAAACCAGTATTACCAGAGACAAACAATCTCTTATCAAAATGCAAATACTAAAGGTTCACAAGCTCAGTCTCTTTGGGCTTTAACTACTGTTAAAATTCTAAATGTCTTTTTTTTCTGGTAGCCTGTGTTTTTCAGTTTACAGATTTATAAAATGTTTCCACTGCACCTCAATGTAAAGAAAGCAAAGATCCTTACATTGGACCGACAAATAATATGATAAACTGAGAAAAGATTGCTGTTAAAAACTTCATTTTGATTGGGTCCACAATTAATTTTGCTTGGATTAATGCTCATAAAAGCACAGCAGTCAAGAAATCAAACAATATATTTTATTAGGCAAATCTGTTGCAAAAGACCTCTTTCAAGTGTTAAAGAGCAAAGATGTCACTTTGAGGCCTTAGGTGCAACTGACCCAAGCCGTGGTATTTTCAGTCATTTCATATGCATGTGAAAGTTGTACAGTGAATAAGAAAGACCTTAGAAGAACCAATGCATTTGAATTACAGTGTTGGTGTAGAATACTCAAAGTGCAATGGACTACCAGGACACACATTTCAAGTACAGCAGGGAGAAGAAGGCTCCTAAGAAGTAAGGGTGGTGAGGCTTGGTCCCTCAGGCTTTGTACATATTGTCAGGAGGGAATCAGTTCCGGGAGAAGGTCAATGTAGTAGGGGAAGATAGCGCGCCCCGCCCCCCGCATCACCACCACCAATGAGATGCAGAGTCACAGGGGCAGCTACAATGGGCTTAAACATAACAATTATGAAGACGTTGCAGGACCAGGCAGTGTCTCATTCTGTTGTGCAGGGTTTTGCATATGGTCGCTATGAGTCAGAACCCAACTCAACAGAGACAACATTCATCTTCCTAACACTTCCCTTTCCGCAGTGCAGTCCCCAAACTGACCTCAAAGAGATCCTGCAACAGCCTTCCAGAACAAGCATTCTGACACCTCTACCTCCGAATTAGTAAACTGGCTAACTAGAAACCACTCATGGCTTCTGGGACACATGGAAAATTATATTCTCATTAACTGAAATGCTACAGAGCAGCATAATTAACTAAAATACAGGTAACATATGAGAATGAGGTCAGAGACACAAAACGTTGTTGAAAAGATGAAGATTACAAGTAGAAACATCAATTCCAATTCAAAGCCAAGTAATAATCCTAAAAACACTTTTAGATTTTAACGCACACTTAAGAGATGTTAACACAGAGGAGAAAAAGTACAAAATACTTAATAGTCGTTTAGTTTATTAGTTTTAAAAAACAAGTTCAACAATATTTTAAAATACAAATTCTTCAGACCTTAAGAAAACAGAAGGTATTTTTTACAACTATGGTGCTATAGGATAAGCACTGGACTGCTAACCTCAAGGTTGGCAGTTCAAACCTACCAGTCGTTTCTTAAGAAACCTATACAAGGTTGCTACTGAGTCAGAACCGACTCAACAGCACAAAAGGACATCTACAGAGGGTTCAGTAAAATTCATGACAGCACACTGGAAACCACATTCTAATGGGAACACAAGTCAACGGTATGTGTGGAGATGTCTGAAACAGAAAAACACCTTTTCATATTGGCAAGTGGAGAGGACTTGGAAGTACCTACAGATGAAGATGAAAACGTGCAACCTTCAGGATGGATTACATTTCAGTATAAAGAAAACAATCAGATCAATCCTCAAACAGGACTAATAAAGCAACATCCTGACAAACGGAGAAAGGATCCAAGTTACTGAGGATTTCATTGGACGTGGCTCCACAATCAACCACCGCAGAAGCCGCAGTCAGAAATTCAAATGCATATTGTTGTTGTTGTGGTTATGTGCCGGGGAGTTGATTCCAACTCATAGTGACCCTGTACAGGGTTTCCGAGGCTGTAAATCTTTACGGGAGCAGAAAGCCTCATCTTTCTCCCAGGGAATAGCTGGTAGTTTCGAACTGCTGACTGTGAGATTAGCAGCCCGATTCTTAACCACTATGCTACCAGAGCTCCATATTACATTGGGCAAATCTGCTGCAAAAAGACCTCTTTAAAGTGTTAAAAGAGGCGTGTGGTGGCTCTGTAGGATAAGCACTAGACTGCAAACCATAAGGTCAGCAGTTCGAGCCCACCCGCCACTCCGAGGAGTTAAGATGCGCTCCCAAAAGAGTTAACACAGAAGCCTTGGAAACCCTATAAAAGCTATGAGTCAGAACCGACTGGGCAACACTCAACAATAGCAGTGCTGTGAAAACTATCACTCCATACCCAAGTATTTTCAACTGCGTGTGAAAGCGGGAATATGAGTAAGACTTCAGAAGAGCATTTGAATTGTGGTGTTAGAGAAGAATACTGACTATACCATGAACTGCCAGAAGAATGAACAAATTTGTCTCGGAGAAAGTCACAATGCTCTTTAGAAGTGAAGAATGCAAGACTCTGGGCTCACATACTTTGGACACATTCTCAGGAAGGATCCTCAATGAGATGGACTGACACAGTGGCTGGAACAGTGGGCTCAAATACAGCCAGCAATTGAGAGGACGGTGCAGCATTGGCAGTGTTTGGTAGCCAACCTGAGGACACCTAACACTGACTCTCTAACGATTCTTATTCCCCTTGTCAACCTACCAGCACTTAGTCTGAGTCCGATAAAGACAAAGACTCTTGAGCGTAAGGTATATGGAATCTACTTCCTGTGAACCAGTTTTCATATCCCCAGAAATACCAGTCACTGTGTGCGTGCATCAATGCCCACCCGACTGAGGGGCTGCTCTAGAATTCCCACCTGCTCCGAGTGCAGCTTTCCCAGAGTTAATTCAAGTTACATTCAGGTAGTCCTTGTCCTGGACTAACACCACCACAATGGGTAAGATATCAGTAACACCCCTTATACAGATTCCAAATAAGACAAGCTTACTGTGCGCTTGCTTTGTTACTTTGTGCAAGTATAATCGTTTAAAGTAAATAGAAATAAAGCGATATAGTCTAAACTTCTTCTCTTAGGCATAAATCTTGCATACGTTTTGTTAAAGACAAGTCACACTATAAAATTTAACACCCAAATAAAGCTATTTGTCATACAATCCCTTGCAAACAGAATTTCAAATGGATAGGAAGATTTTTTGACAACCTCTCAAGCACTGTATCAGTTCTGTTGGTAGATCAGGGCCTTCCCCCTACCCCCAAAAAAGGAAATTGGCCGATGCTATGTGAAGCAGTAAATAAATTGGTGAGATTTCTAGAGTTTATAATAACAAAACAAAGCACAACTTTAGTAATAATACCATTAAGTTGCACTCAACATGACATAAAAATGAGTCCCGATGTGGTACTGTAGGATGTAAGCACTGGATCACAAGTTGGTTTTAAGTGCAAGTTGGTTCAAACTCACCAGCTGCTCATTGAAACCCTATATAGAGTCACTAGGAGTCAGAACCAACTCAATGGCACTTGACAACAACAAGAGCAAAATAAAATAAAAGTATCTATAAAGTGTAAAAGGGCCCTGGTGTGGCACTGAGGGTAGGCACAAGATTGGCAGTTCAAAACCACAAGCTGCTCTCCAAAATCCTATACAGTGCTGCTAAGAGTGGGACTGATATGATGGCACAAACAATTAGCAAAAAGTACAAGTGTCATTTTAAGCTTTAATCCTTGCCTAGAAGAACACTAAAGGGTCAGCTGATATACAGAATGTCAATCATGCACTACTAGATGCCCCAACCTATCAGTGAGGAGTCCCTTTCCAAATTTCCTTAAGTGTCCTCTTTTAACAGCCCAGACCATGGACATGGGTTCTACAGGAGGAGAAGCTACCCATAGTAGGTCCAACTTTTCTGTATCTTCATCAGAGTACTAGTAAGAAAATCCAGGTAGCTCCCAGGAGCAGATGAAGTCTCTGTTGTGGGGGTCTGTCCCGTGCACTGTCAAATGTTTAGCATCCCCGGCCTCTGCCGGTAGCAAACTCCTCTCCCCTGCTCAATTCTGACAAACAAAAGTCTCCAGAGATTGTTATGTGTCCCTTAGGGGGCAAAACTCTCCCTGAGTTGAGGATCTCTAAGGCTGCCCAAAGCATTTGAGTCCTGGTGTGGCGCTGTGGGTTAATGCGGCAGACTGCAAAGCCGTTTGAGAACTGCAAGGTCGGCGGTTCAAGCTCACCAGCTGCTCCTCAGAAACCCTATACAGGGTCGCTATAGGTCGGAACTGACTTGACGGCACTTAATAACAACAAAGACACATTGGACTCTGCAGTCTATATACTTAAAAATTACAAAAATTGCTTGAATGATACTAACCAAGTCAATTCTAGTAACTGAGGGATGGAACCATTAAGTTCACCTCCAAGTAACTTGATGATCACCTAAGAACACCAGTTGACTTTGTTTCAACACAAT